CTGGCTCTTTTAGTCAGAGTGATAGTGCCACGTGACATAGATCTTCTTAATGTAAATAAATGTAAGTAGATGGTCCGCTCTCAGCAGACTCCTTTGGCTAAAACAAGTTCAATTGCCAGTGACAGGAAGACCACATTATCCTTCCCCCAAGAACCTTAAAACGTATTATTTCGGGCGTGGAATCTTTCACACTTACACATATCTGTTGACCTAATTCTGAACGTTAGGGTAACCTCATGTGCTGTGGATTGCAACAGATGTGGACTGAGGAAGAGATTTTTTTCAGTTCATCAAGATATAAATAACAGAAGCTCATTTTTGTTTATACAAAAAAGAAAAAGAAAAAGAAAAAGAAAAAAGTCTTATCTGTATCTATAAGTCATTGGTTCTCAATCAGGGGCAGCTTTGCCCTCCAGAGGACATTTGGCAATGTCAGGAGATATATTTGGTGGTCACAGTGGAGGAGGGGAGTCATAGCTGCATCTAATGCTTTTGCCAAACATCTTACAATCACAGGGCAGCCACCCCTCCCCGCCAACAAAGAATTTTAAGGCCCTAAATGTTAGGAGTCCTGAGGATGAGAAACCCTGGTATAGATGGTGGCAAGACTAAATGGGTAGATGAATTAATCATGTCTTTAATTTTCTATATTTTATGATATTTTGACAGCTTAAAACGTCTGCTGGCTGCAGAAAGACTGCCCTTCCCAGGGCCAGCCCTTCTCTCCTGCACGTCGACCATTCCTGAGTCTGCGGCCCCAGCCACTTCCTTATCGAAGTCTCACACATAAAGCCGCGCTTCCCCCGCCCTGGAGCGTCCCCGGGCCCGGCCAGGCACCAGCCAACTAGGGATGGCCCCTGAGTCTCCAAGCCCTCGGGAATTATTCAAACTCGCCAACCCTGAGCAATTGACTCTCCTGTGCTTTGCCTTTTCCTCGGAAAGCCCGACAACGGCTCTGGCTTAGACTCTCCCCTTGCTTCTGTCTTCTGCCACCTGCCCCAAAACCGAGTGCTTCCCCTGCGACCCTGCGTGGTGGCGCAGTGACACTCTCTCTGACAGCTGTGAGTATAAAAAAATCTCTTCTAAGCCTCATTCTCCTTCTGTCTTGTGGCTGCATGGACTTGATCATACCGCATGCAACATTCGCATTCTTAGAAGAGTGGGTAATGAAAATAATTGCTTCCTCTTCTCCCCACCCGGAATAATTCTGGAGAATAAAAAAGACAGTGGAGACACAAGCCACGTACTTTCTCAGGGCACTCCTTTCCTGACGGTCTTCCTCCAGCTCCCGGTAACAGGTCTGTTTCCTGATTTCTTTCTCCCAGAAGCTTTTGAGCTCATGACAAGTTTCACAGCAGAAGACTTCCCGGCGGACGTATTGGTTGTTCATTCCCTGAAAATGAGAGAGAAAGCGAACCCGAGTACTTCGAATAAAGCCACTGTAATTTTGGAGCGGCGAGGGATGAGCTCGAATCCTTGCACTGGCGCTCGCTCTCCTTGCGCGTGTCGACAAATCACACGCTCACTGTGACTTTGTTTCTCAACCGCGGACGGGGATGATAAAGGATCCTCAGAAAATACTGCGAAAAATGCTGAAATGAACAAAAGTGCAAAGGACGTCTAATAACCCTTCCAGATGATCTGATTCTACAAGGGCTTGCCCCTTTCGCTGTCCCCGAGCCATTTTACAGCTCTGTAAACTACAGAAAAAAATAGAGAAATGCAAATGATTTTTGAACAGAGACTCGAACGTATTTTGCCCAGTGGAATGCAACTGCCATCCCTGTGAACAGCAACCAATTTTCACCTGCTTATGAATTCACTTGTGTCTCCTTAATTGCTTGTATATGTGTGGGGTTTTTTTTTTGAATTTTCTTAGAATTTGTTGTAGTACCTTACTCATTTTCTCATTAATTATAACAAGTTAAGTAAAGTATTTGACCCGTGTACATTTTATATTTGTAGGGGAGTCATGATTTTAACTTAAAACGTTATCCTTTAGCAGTTACTTCACAACTGTGTGTGTGTGTGCGTGCAGAATGAGATGGTGTATGCAAAGCTCCAAACACAACGCATGACAGTAAGAGGCACCTAACCAATGTTACACTTTTTCCATCCTTCCTCACAGAATGACAAGAACATCTACCATTTGCTGAGCAGGTGACGTGTGACAGGCATTTCTCACCCACTGTCACATTTGATCCCCACCACAGCTCTCTGAGATGGGTGATTCTTGTTTAGATAAGGAATTTGCCTACAGCCTTGTCACTGGACATAAGCCAGAGTTTGGACCGAGGTCTGTCCATTTTCAAAGTGAATGCCCTTTGCTCTACCAATCCTCATCACAAGAAATGGCGACCGTATTTGGAATTGGCCGCCTCCAGAGCAAGCTCGTGTGGCATGTGTGTGTGCAGGACCCGTGAAAGTATGCATGTTTAACACTAAAAAAATTTACTTTTTTTTTTTTTACCTAAACAGTGCCCGTTTTCCAGATCTTAGTGGCTCTGGCGAGCAGGTAGATGCAATGAACTGCAAGACAAATCCTTCTCTGCTTGCTGGTGAGTTCCTGCTTAGGGGAGAGCTTTGGCTCTAGTGGGAGATTGGCGAGAACCTGGACTTTCTCTCCCTCACTACAGAGTCCCAGGGGTCCCATTCAGGATGGACTGGCCGATCACAGCCCAGAGAACTGGGGGTGGAGTTCAGAAAAAGCTTCAGGGAATAAATAAGACATTTATTACTTTATATTTATAATATAGAATAACAATTCTATATTATAGAATTATAATATGTTATAATATAGAATATATTTATAAATTTATATACAGAATAAAATAGAATATTTTATTTATATTCTATTTTTAATAATAGACTCTTACACTTGTATCGGAGAGGTGGCAAGACCTTCCCACTTGGAGAGAGATATAAACGTCCTGAAGCAAGAAGCAGCTTGGTTTTCTGGAACTGAAAGCAGCTTTGAGTATCCTATAAAGATTTTTATTTAAAAATCCACATCTCCTACTTTTCCTCCTAGACCCATCTTCTAATCATCCGGTCATTTCTGTAGCTGCAACCGACCTGGGCAAAACTGTGCTCGGAGCACCTGGGGGAGCACTGACCCCTAGAGCACCTGGGGGAGCACTGACCCCTGGAGTCTCTCCAGATGTTCTTTGCACCCCGCTCTGGTGGGGCTGGCCCTGCAGCCTCGTGGGAGCACATGCTCTGTCTTATAAGGACATAATCCCATGTATTTTCTGCCCCAGGCTAAGGGATTCACTGCACAGATTTCTAATAAGTTCTTAGTGTCTTGACATTGAAAGAACTGTCAGTGAAAGTATTGATCAGACTTTTAAATTTTCATTCGTAGAACTAGAGTGTGAGACAGTGCAGTTAGGTTTCCTGTGGATTTTGTCCAAGCTGCAGGGACATCGGTGGGCTCTCACTTTCCTGACGTGAGCTCTGCCTGTATAAATGTGAGGTGAGAAAGCAGCACTTGCTTTGAACTGGGAGGAAGGTGTTAATGCAGACGTGCCACTGAAATAGACAAAAAGGAATGCACGATGTAGTCCCACTTTTATTAAAAATGCTCCTAAAAACGGAGAGTTTATATTAGGTATCTGGTATTCAGAGAAAGGATAGTTTGGTCAAATAGGAACTCACTAAGATTTTTTTCTTGAAATTTAGATTTATTTTATTCTAAGGAAATTTTTGTTTAAAAAAAAAAAAGAAAGAGGCTTAGGCAGGAACACGGGCTGCCCACATCATCATGTCACTTCACATTCATTCCATTTGGCACAAAGGTGTAGTGTTCACATGGAAGGAGGATTTATTCTAAAAGACACTGTAGTTGCATAATTATGAGTTAGGTTAAGAGAGATGGTGGAAAGCAGGGTGGTGTCTACACACCCAAGGGTGTGATTTAATTTAAATCAGGGTAAGCCCAGAGGAAGTCAGGCAGCAGGCTCTGAGCAATCTGAGGCATATTGCCTCTGCTTCCTATTCCCTTTGGGTCAGGAAGCACTTCTGGGGCTGTGATATCTTGGAAACTTCAAACACACTCAGGGGCCAGGCCAAGCTCCCTTCACTCAGGAGGGAGTGAAGCTACTGGACCTGAGCAACGGGGAGCAGTGGGCACTGTGTTCATCAGCAGAACACGTTCTCTGCTTCAAGACATCACATTTAAGAAGGAGGCAAACAGTGTGCTCACTGCAGAGAAGAGGGGTTTTGGATGCCTGCAGCCTGAGGGCTACCTAGGCACTCCTCTTAAGGGATGCGTTCTCTGACCTACAGTTTTAGCCTTCTGTCTTTCTTCCTTAGCTTTTCTCAAAACCTCCTCCCCAGGCTCTCCCGGCAGGGCATCCTAAACTATTTCACTTTCGTTCTACCTCCCTTCCCTCTACAGTCTCTCTGAGCATCCATTCTCCTGCCTCCAAACCTGAGTGTGCAAATACCATCCTCACTGGCCAGACTGGCTTTTGCTGTCATCCCGGCAGCAACTGGGGTTGGAACTTTCCACCAAGCCTCACGTCACCCACTAGAGGACATGTGGACACAGCCACCTGCCAAACACAGCTTGGGTCCCCGCCTCACTCGCCAGGGCTGGAGGCTGTGTTCTGACGGCCAGGATGGCCAGTGAGCTAGGAAGGAGGACAGGGGACGATTGTCACTATTGTCACTTTGAGCAATAAGTCCTTCAAGTGCTCTTAGCCCCAGTTTCCTTATCCATGAAGTGGAGATGAAATGGCAATACAGAGGAAGGCACTTCACACACTACCGTTCATTCCCTGATTGTTTGTCTGCCAACATGACACACACTTGCCCTCCAGGAGCTCACAGTCTATTGTCTCATCCCTGATAAGAGACTGCAAGTGTCAATGGAGGCGGGAGGGTGCAGCTCAGGGGTAGAGTGTGTGCCTAGCGTGCACCAGTCCTGGGTTCAGTCTCCAGTACTTCCACTGAAATACATACATACAGAAATAAATAAATAAATAAATGCCTAATTACCTCTCCCCAAAATAAAAAACATTAAAATAGAAACAATTTTAAAATGTTAACCGAATTTGAACCATCACCTATATAAATTCTCATTGTCTTTATACATGATATTAAATGCTTTGCCCCTTCTTGATTCAGACCATATTTCAGGTTTATTTATCTCCGTTGCTGGGTTGTCAGAACTGGAAAGCCTTAGATCTCAGGGATAAGATGCTTCCTTTCTTGTCCAAGGTCGAGGGTTGGACTGTAAACAGAGAACCCCTTAGCAAAAAAGTCTTGGTGATAAGTTCCATCCTTACATCATTTAGGATATTGTATTTGGGGATCCTTGAGGTCAGACTGTATAACCACAGTCACTGAGCCATGCCCGGTATGTTTAAGAAGTAATTGTCTTACGTAAGAAGCTGACAGTGTCCACTCTGCTAAAGATGGGACTCAGTTCTCCCATGTTACTTTGTAACATAAACCTAACTGTTGTTTTGCTGGAAACTTGAACTTCAGCACTGAGGGTCACGGCAATCTGTAAGAGCTTCTGCAAGAGGAAATGCAGTTTGTTTTAGACAAGCTATGCCGCCCTCCCGGCGCCCCTCCCCGCTTTGTACTTTCTGCATCCGGTGCCTGCCTACTGTGCTCATGGTGGTAGCTGCTGCCCTCCCCTTTGTACCCTCAAGAAACAGAATTGACAGTAATTTTAAAATAGCATTTTTAGGAAAATATCAAAATGAGGCAGGAAACAGAAAATTGAAGGCGTCCGCTTTTCCCCAGGGGCGCTGGTGGAACCAGCACCTCCACCTGGTTCAGGCAGAGAAAATCATCAACTGTGTATGTGGTCCCGCCCCTGCAGGGGCTCCGATGAAAGTGAAAAGGCACTCCTCTCCCCAGCTGTCCTCTGGGTGGGGTCGGGAAGAAGGCAAAGCCACTCTGATCTCCTGTGGGACAACTCGGTGGTGATTTTTATAGCCCCAGAAGTAAGAAGTGCTGAGGAACGTCCGGATGCCTAAACCCATCGGGTACCAGCAACCTCCTGAGTCACTTTTAAAGATCTTTGAGATTAAGATCTGTTTTCTTTACTGAGGAAACTTTAAGACTCAGCTGTCTCCATTATGTTCTTGTGAAACTGATTTTTTTTTTTAAATAAACCTAAGTCTAGGTCTTTATACTTATTCCTTTTAAATTTCAACCTGCTACTTTCATCCCGTGGTATAGGCAGACTAGAGGGGAGCAGACTTCTCAGATGGGTACATGGGTGTGCTTTTAATGTCTTTTTAGTCCCCTCTGGTCCTGAAATTCTCTAAGAACACAGGATAATTTCTTTTTCTTGACACCTAGATAGCTGTATTTTCCTCCACCCACAATGGTTCAAAACTCAGAAGCAGCAAGTTTAAATAACTAATGTGTCCCTAAGTTCACATAAATGACTCATTAATAAACACTTAGGAATAGTATGTGATTCCCAGCCTTTAAAAATATATATCAGAGTGAAGTAAGCCAGAAAGAAAAATACCATAT